AATTAAATTTTATTCAAGTCTATTACAAATTTAGTTCAAACATTAATAATTATTACTAAATTTTAATAACATTAAATAAAATATATCACAAGTATTATCATATATGATTAATGTTTAATTTGAATGAACTAAATTTGTAGTAGACTTGAATAAAATTTGATTTATTGAACTAATTTGTTTACTATTGTTTACTTAACTAAATTATTTAGTAATTGTTAATAATAATAAAAATAATAAAATATTAAAATATTTAGTTGACACTATTTCACCAAAACATTTAATAACAGTTACTATTATTAAATCCTTTTTTCGGTGTAAAAAATATGGGAAGCCGATTGTTTTCGAAAATGCTATGGTCTTACTCCGAAAGAAAAAACAAAGTACCTAGATCTCTTCTAAATATATACATATACATATATTCTTATGATCTTTAAAGATCTAACATCAAAAAATATTTTACAGAAGTCAATTACCTTCCTAAAGCGGAGCAGCATGCGTAACACAACACCACATACACTAATCTAGCGAATGGTACTTCACGATACTGAATATCAAGGGAGAAAACGGACGCAACGTAGAAACGTTCACTTCGACCGTCAGGATCTTCGCGAGAGTTTAACAACTGTTTTGCGACGATGTGTTGCGCCCAATCAGTCGCGTCCTACCGACCACTATGTTTTCGTCAAGAAGCATCAACGACACACACGATGATGATGATGATGATGGTCCGTCAGGACGCGGGCGTCGTCCATCGGAGTTCGCTGTCGCACGGACTCTCGTCGAATGGTACCATCGCGGCGGGGCGTCGCGCATTTTTTTTTTTCGTGGGCGTTTCTCAGCCGGCAAATTAAGTCGGGAAAATTGAGGACGATTAATACTTGAGGCACGCAGCACGTCGGCTCACACGGCGGCCATTGTACGTCTCGAACACACGGATGGAGCCAGTACGTTCAAGAGAGAGCGAGACTCGCTGTCCCCCTACCATCGGTGGGGAAGCGTTCGTATACAGGGCGTTTAGAAAGTCCGCATCGGACTTCACCTGTTCTCTAATTCGATTGAAATCGCTGTTAAATGGAATGTCTGCGACATATATTTGTTGAAGACCATATTATATCTTATTATTAGTAAACTGTAATCTTTAAAGTTACGCGAATGACATAGTACTTCAAAGCAGAACAACAAGTCATGATAACATCAAAATTATTAATGTCAAAGACATTAAAATTGTTACTGACTGAAAAGTGATAATTAATAATCATTTTGGAGTCATTTTGGTATTATTATGATGACTTGTGCTTTGCTTGGATCAATACTACTACAATCATTTAATAATAAAAAATCGGAGTATCGAAGAGACGATCGGTGTGTCAGAGATTGAGTGAACTAATTCCTACTTTATCGCCACCCTTTAATGAGCCTTTCGTCAACAGCTTTGTAACTGGTAGCGGTACTCTCCCTTGAATGGAGACTTCCATGACCGGAAGAGACCTTATAAATCGTGATAAATCACGTACGTGGATACGAGCGTGAAAGATTTTATAATTGTATGACCTATTAAAGTGATTCACAATGATCGCCACGAATACAAGTACAGTAAATAACTGTACTAAAGCGTCGAATCAGACCGAAAAAATGGAGTACGTAAAAAGAATCAAATTGATAATGCAATTTTCAGCTGCAATCAGGCTGTTCAAATAACAGTTCGTTCCCAAGAATGCAAGGATAATTAAAATTCTAAAAGCGTATTTATTCGCGCGCGACTTTATCGATGAGTAATGTAAATAAAAACGATTTCTTGCTCTATAATTTCCAGAAGATTATGATAAGAGCAAAAGTGTCGCTGACCTATTCGAAGTAATTATTTCATCGCTCGATATTTGCAACTAGGAAATGGACTATTTATTTTTAAAATATTAGATTCAAAATTCTAATTAAGACGGTGTATACAGAATTATTTAATTTTGTTTGATCATAATAAAGCGAGCATTCTGCGAGCAATTCTATCGTATCAAATCACGATTAATCAACATAACATTCATTAAGCGCGCATAAAAAAATTTCGCGCGGTAGTACACACATGCGGGATGTAATGACACACATTCACAGTTTTTTTGAATAATGTGTTTGCGGAACAAACGAGTTATGAGATAACGTTCGAGAAACATTACGAGGAAGAAAGGTGCAAGTCAAGATGTCTTAGCGTGAACAATTAGAAATAAAGATGCGTTGAACACTAATTTATTTGAAACGTACCGATGTAAGGTAGAAAATCCTTTTTTATTTATTTTTTTGCATTGCCAATGATCGTGGTCAAAGTCCCGTTACAAATGCTTTGAAGCGTTTGATGGACCAATTAGAAGAAAGAATTTTACTGACCAATTAAAAAACGCTTCAAAGCATTTGTAGCATCGCATTGATCGTGCCCAATGTTTGTTCAACTATATATCTAATGATTACATCGTGAATATCATGTCTGTGGATGGCGCCAATATTATCATTACGAAAGTGTGTTTAGCAGTTTGCAACCCCTGCCTTCGTTACGCCGCGCCGCGCCGTGGCTTTCGAAGAGGATAGCGGACGACAGCCTCGCAGCGGCCGGTGTTCGCGATAAGCAGTGCAAATTTAACGTTGCACTCTGTTGCCAAGAGGCAGATAACAATTTACGCGTTAATATATTAGCCGACGTGCGTATCTTTACGAGGGCGTGCGGTGCAAACATTTCCAACTAAGACTTTGACAGCGCAAATGTCGGTAATGGTCATTAACCTCGCAGCCCCGGGTAAGCGGCTTAAGGTATAAAGGGTTGTCGCTCATCCCGCTCGATTACTCCGTTGAGAGAACTCGACGCTATGGAAGTGACGCACTTCGTGTATCTTCTCGTCGGTTTGAGCACGCTGTTAGTGCACGCTGAAAGGAATGCCGAAGCCACCGAGGCACCGATCACCGAAGATCAGCAGAAGGTGTACGATGAATGCCGGAATCCAGACTACAAAAAATACGTAAAGTGTTTAATGAGGCCAAAGAGACACGGTCATCACACAAACCACGGAGACGGGCCGGAAACTGGTAGATCATCAATCGCTATAACAATTGAGATAAACACGGGAATTCGCGTGTCGCTCGGAAACGCTCCGTTCAGACATATTATGTAACTGCAGCTGTTGCACTTAGAAGCTAAGCTAAAGCTGTTGATCACTTAGAAAGATAAACCGTTGCATTAAATTAAAATTACTGGATCTTTTATAACGTAACATACGCAGTTACGCAACACGGTTAGTCGTTAGCGCGACTTTCAAGTACGATGGATAAATATAAACGCGACATAAATATATCATGATGGGCTTTATTGTTAGACAGTTAATTATGTTTAATAATATACCGTATTACCTCGTTCTGCTTGTTTTGTTCGTGTTACAAGAAAATTGTCCCTTACTATTGTACGATAAAATTCTACAGATGCCACTTGTCTGGAAACGTGTCTAAAAAAGTGCGAACATCACTTGGATCTCGATTGCGAAAAAAAATGCGGCTACTGCACGAAAAGAACTAGGCATAGACATCAGATCATTACGGAATACGAGACGGAATGCGAATCGGGAAACTGCAGTCCATCTAATGGCGGATTAAGGACTACTAACATAACGACGAACATCGGCATTAATAATGTCATTAATCCTTTCGGGGACGGTGGTGGTAATGTTACTGGACTCAATATTTTTGCAAATGGTACTAGGTGGGGTTTTCCTCCAGGAGCCTGCTGTCGTGAGTCAAAGCCTCTATTTATTAATATAGAATCTAATGACATAATTTTCCTGAAATGCAATTTAATGGACAAAGAACATTTTAATAAAGTTGGCTTCATTTCCGATTTACAGCACCTGGAGGTCCTTGTCGTCCTGGTAGTCCGCCCTGTTATCCTGGATCAATACCATCGCTTCCTATAGTACCTCAAATCTCGTTAGTACCGCAAATTACATACGGAGTAGGATTTGGAGCCGCAGGTGGTTGCGCGTACAATCAGTGGCTTTGTATTCAACAAACTGGCGTACAGGTAGACATACCGATCGAGTTAGTTAATATTCTTTATATATTAAAAGATGATGTAATAATCGTAGTTTCCAAGCGTGCAGCCCGATTGCTCTGGATGCGGCAATCCTGTCTTACGCTACAAGTGTGACGTAAATTGTTACGCAATTTACAACACAGCAACTAAAACATCTTGTAAAAGTCCGGAATGTATTGGTGGTGAGCGCTTATTATTAATTCATTAATTAATACTAATTATCGTTAATTAATTTAAAATGCAATTTCTTTTTTTTTCTGTCATTAATAATGATATTTCTACTTTTATTTACACGTGCGTATATAAATGTAATATTATTTTATATTTTAGGTTCCACGTAAAAATATGGATTTATTAAAGGCGATTACTAGAAACGAAGAATATTTTATTAATCATTCATATTGTTTATATTTATACAATTTATAGTTCATGCTAACAGTGGACTTGATAAGAAATTGTAGTCATAAAGTAGCCCTAGATTTATCATAAAACAATTCTTCATTTATTATAATTATTATATGTGATCTGTTTCCCAACATTAACTTATGTAAAATAAAGGCGATCTTATTTTTCTTTTACAAAATCCTTGCTTCGACTATGTTCACGTTGTTGTTGTTGATGAAGTATGTTGGTCGGTTTTATAATATAGAAAAAAGTATCGATGAAAATGCGGCCATGTATGTATGGTTGTCAATCTTTTGGCGCAATAGAAGGGATTTCTATTACAATTAAATAATAATAATAATAATAATAATAGTTGCTATTAAAATTATCTATCTAAATTAATTAAATTATAAAACAATGAAATGAAAAATAATGGCTCATATGTTTAAAAATTAATCAGAACAAGGAGCTACGAGTTAATTAAATTACTTTAATGCTAATCCAAAATTGTGTATAATTACAAATAAATTTTCCGATCTATATGCGATTGTAAATTTTGTACGATTTTTATCATCAGCTGTTGTAATAATAATAATAATGACCTCATGTATATAGATCGAAATGTTTGTAATAATAAATAATATTTTAGATAAAAATAATTTAATTGGCTCATAGCCTCTTGTTTTACGATTGAATTAAATTATACATTTCTAATGAATGTAGAATCATGATGAGGCTCGAAAATCCGTTATAATATAAAACTGTTAAAAAACATTTACAGCTCTATTATTTGGACATATGGCTGAAAATAACGTTAGAATGTAATGTATGTAATGCAAGTAAATAAATGAATGGTCATATTGAAACTACAGATGCAATTGCAAAATTTGTCTTGCATTATGCGTAACGCATCGGTCGTCATTGGCGCGCCGATCGCCGGCGTCGACTGCACTGCGTGGACAAGCAATGTGCTTTCGAACCCCTACGGACGAGTACGAGAAGGCTCCATCAGGTGTCAAGGTGGAAACAGGTGCTGGAAGCGTAGAGCCGCAATATTCAAATGCACCGTGGCGAAAGACTGTAACATTACGACGGTTACGAGAAGACTGAATACAAAACGAACGGAATTGTTTTTTATTCCCGTTTTTCAACGTACCTCAAAGCGGGAAGTTGAAAAAGATTTTCTTCAAGACGATTTTCATTGATACAAGAACGAGAAAGATTCGACATAATTTTCCATAGTCATTAGAATATTATTTTGACACCGATGCTTGTGTAGATAAAAAAAAATGTTAAATGATTTTCTGATCAATCTATTGGGTACAAGATGCGAGCAATAGTGATTTAATTTTTTGTTTTTGTCAGAAAATTATTAATATTTTTTCTGTGAACCAAAATAACAACTTAAGAGCAATTCGTATTTACGATAATTACCTGATCACTTTATCATTCGTGTTCGTACATATTTCGTGAAAAGATTCCGAGCATGAGCTGCCCAAACAAAAAGTACTTACAATCGTGAACCTATTACCTGCCTTTCGCAATGCACCGGCTTCGATAAGGTTGGATAGCGAAAGTGCTTGTAGCATCCCGAACAGGCACAGCGTGGGAATAGCAACTTGTTTCTCCTACTACCATCTTTCTTTCAATTCCAAGGCGTGAATAGATCCCTTTCTAAGAAATCTAAGTGCGTCGTTAACTCCCGTGTTCCATGGATAACATGGTGGAATAAAAATTAAATATCACCATGGGAAAGGAAAACGATTTTTTTTATCGATTATCGATTTTTTTTAACATGCGCTAAATGTTAGCGTCTCATTGTGGCATAGAAAATTATATAACATAGAAGACACGGATACAAAATTAATTATAAATATGTCACGTTTATCCTTTTGTATAGTCTATTAGAATGTAAGGCTGAAGCGTTTACGTTTATTGATCGCCATTGGTATATCATCGGGGAGACCCGGAAGCAATATTCTACGAGACTATTTTGCGTGAGGAACGTGTAAACGCAATATTTTACCAGCATCGATTTGTACCTAAAACAACTACTCTAGGCGGATTTGCCCTTAAGCGACGCCTTCCATCGTTATTGTATTGTTAGAACAGACAGCTAGCCAATACGTACACACGATGCCGTCACCGTATACGCTACGTTATGCCATACCAGTTTCTCGAACGATAAGAATGCAACGTTTCCCTCTGGCGGGCCGGACAGCGTGGGCCGTCCTGCCTCCGAACAATCAAATTTACTGCGAGCGCAAAGGATTGTTCCTGTTATTTCAGCCCACTCCTGCGTGAGCATCCGCCAATCAATTTCTTTTTTCGTTAATCCTTTTAAAAATTCTTTTTTATGTGTTGGACATAGATTTCTTTTCGCGTTAGACAAGATCTCTATAATTTTTTTGTTCTTGATAAAAATAATTAATACCGTTTTCAGGAAAAAATAAGAGTTGCAATCCAGGTAGAATACAAAACCATAATAAGACCAAGGTGGCATCAAGTAGAAATTATTTTAGGAAAAATCATAATGATATTATCCGATACACTTTTGATGATAATTTTGTGATGAATTCTTTTCTAACACACACACACACACACACACACACACACACACACACACACACACACACACACACACACACACACACACACACACATGAGCATTATTTTTTCTAAAATAACTTTTATTTAATATCATCTTGATTTTATTATGATTTTTATTCTAAGAGAATATTAAAATTAGTTCATGGAAGACATTTTATGATCGATATATTATCACCAAGCAATGAGGAAGTAACTTCCTCATTTCCTTTCTTTTTTTCGGTCTACACCTGGTGTACCAGGCTTATCAAGCGCATGACGGACCACTCACGGATATATATATCGAAATCCAGGTGGAACCATTAGAGCGAAAGATCGACTCGTATACCAGACCACTAACATCCGTCGGTTGATGTATCAAAAAGTCATACACCGTCAAGCCATCAAATTTCGTCCTATACAATATATTTTTTATAACTCTCCATCTATTCTCTGTGTGTACTTTGCGTAAAAGGATTGAAGGGTACGCTGCATGATATTGCGCCAACAATACGCTACGCGCCTCTCTCCCTCCCCCCCCATAAAGAACATTAAATTTTCACGGTTTGTGAACTTATTTCTCTGCTCCCTGAAGACGCCCCTCGAAGGCGCGTGCCAAGTTCGAATGAGGCTTTTAATTAACTCGAGCACATGTCATCCGCGCGCGTCGACTTCCTGCGGTTAAGAACACTCGGCAAAATTAGTGGAACATATAGGAAGTAAGACAGAGAAGTAAGACAGAGATCTTATTTCCTTCGCAGCTTTTATATATAAAACATTACGTAAGAACGTATTATATGTGTAAACTTTGTGATTAACTGAAAACTGAATTAGCTTACTACATCAAATAATTAATTGATTATTTACATAAGGTGTCATCAAGATCCTCATCGGTTGAATAATTCGAGAAGTCACTGGTCCGTAAAATGACTACCGTGGGCATCGTCGAGAGCGAATGGAAATTCGTTGGGGACGGCCCCCAGTCAAGGGTTAGCAAAAGTCCGTTACAGTTATTCCTTGAAGTAATCGTTCAGTCGAGCATTCGGAAGACACTAATGAAATGACCGGTAATCGATTGAACGATAGTATGCACGCATAAACATTCATATCTTGTTTTAGACTCGACACAATCGAGATTTTGAAACATAATCTTTTCCAAGCATTTCTAATGAGTGCAAGCAAAATAGAAATGAGTTTGGAAATTCTAATTATCTTTGAAACGTTTATCATCTACGAGGCATATGACTCACGAATATTCTTATACGAATATTCTTATATGTAGATGCATTCATATTTATGAGTTACACTTACTATCTATACGTTAGTGAGTCACATATAATTATATAATATAAAAATAATCGTAAGTTTAAAAGTCAAAACAGAATGCGCAATTAATATACTGTATTAAAATGGAAAGCATAAAGAATGCGAAAAATAAAAAATAAACGAACATTTAGACGTATTAATTAAAAATATCAGTTTTACATGCATAAGTATAATACTTTTGTGATAAGATGCAGGCGACCATTAAGGTACTATGCCATTCAAAAATGCATTTAGTTATGGAGCTATTATGAATCCGTTGCGATCGTTTTGCAAATGATAACCTTCATTTGTCGTTACCCATTTTAATTATTATTTGTGTCTCTGAGGGTCGCTCGTTTTCTTTAATTGCACGGCGCGATGGTATATTTAATTAGCTTTCTGATTGAGTCGATGAGAACAACCGCGTGTAACAGCAGGATATAATGCTCCAGGATATTACAGTAGGGGGAACGGTTACTTTATAGAGATACGGGTTTTACACTGCTTATCGTTTGCCGATTGCTAAATAAGTCAACATCGACGTCGGCGTGGATTTTTTCCTTTTCGATGTCGATTTTAATTTATTCAAGCCCACGTAATCCGCCATGTCCGATACTATTGTTAATTTCACTTAAAAGAATCGCTCCGTAGGATCTGCATACACTCTTCCTGTAAGTAAACATGGCTTCAATATATCGCTTCCTTATTTAAAAAAAAAACTGACACTAAAAAAATTAAGTTTCCCTTAAGGAAAGAGAAAAACTTTTTTTACCTTAACAGAAAATTATTGACAAAGAATATTGGTAAGAAGAATATTCCTAAAGGATGATGAAATGTTATTTTTGTCATCCTTATTTCACAATCTTTAAAAAACTGTTCTTTTAGAATGTGCTTTTTTAAAAGTCACTTTTTGAATTGTGACGATTTGAAGATTTTTTTATAAAATTATGTAAATTCACTCTCTGTTATAATTGGTTTACTTAACTCATTCATGTATACAATTCGAAAATAACATTTTTGAGTTGTAACATTTATTAAGTAAGAAAGCGATATGATAAACGAAAAGAGACTTTTTGTTTTTACGTATACATATTGCTTTCGGAAAGAAAAT